CGGACTATCTACCTTCCGACGTCTGCAGCGATTGCAGTCCATGCGCATCCTGCTGACGCATGCTGATTCGCCAGTTGGACGAGCTATCGCATTCCTATACTCTGTGCTAAAGGTCGAGCACGTGAAACTCGACCAGAACGCCAGCATGCTTGACCTTGCCCGTGTGGGCAAAGGGAGCTTCCACTTGATCATCTCTGGATATGAGGGCACTGACGCAGGCCCAATCACTTTCATGCGATCTCTTCTGCTCCAAGGCGAAGGGAGGATGTTCCTGTGGAATACGGAAGATGAGGGCGTCACCAACATTCTCCGAGCAGATCCTTGCACAGTTCAGGATGCTCTCGCGGTCGTTGTCCCCATGCTGGAAGAACACGTAAAAGACCTTCAACCCGTATCGTCCTCTCCTGTCGACACCAAATCAAGTGACGTCGAGGTATCATCGAATATGCGGGATCGCGCCACGCTCTTCGACGCAAGTAAAGCTTATCTCATAGTCGGCGGGATCGGGAACGTTGGAGCACATCTCTGTATGTACATGTATGAGGTAAGGTGCTTGAATTGTGTGCAAGACGACGTCTTCCTGATCACAGTCACTCTAGCGAGGCGCACGGCACATGATCGTCACGTCGCGCCGTGGGCGGGCAGGGTTGCAAAATAACACAAATCCGACAGTGCAACGCCTGTTTGAGTACATGGAGACACTCGCTGATCTCGACCTCCGCTTGGAAGCTGTCGATGCTATCTCAGTAGCCGACATGTCTCGCCTGATGAAATCAGAAGCTCTGGAGATTGGCGGATGCATCATCCTAACTGCAGTGCTCGCAGATCGTACCTTCCAGCACATGACAGAGGCGGATTTCTCGGCAGTCTTCGCCGCGAAGGTTGGCGTGCTGAAGACTATACAGCACGTGATTGACGTCGACCATGCGGACTTTGTGGTCGCTTTCACATCTATGTCCGGCTTGTTTGGGTTTGGTGGGCAAACCAATTACGGGGCGTGAGTGCATCTGATACTCTGCAGTCATCGAGCACTCGATAACGTGTTACAGAGCAAATACCGAACTAGAGGAAGAACTGGCTCAGATCCCAAATGCTTTCTCCTTTGTATGTCCCGGTGTGTTGGATACGTCACTGATGCTGGCTGGCAACGATATGGCCGCGCGCCGCCTGGGACATGCGGTCGAATGGTCATTCTCTGCGGAAGGTGAGTAGGGACCTCGATAGTCAGAAGTGTCTTTGATATGACCCTCTCTATCCAGAGATGGTCTTATGGTTCGACGACGCGATGTGGCGACATTACAATCTGCAACGCTTCAGTCGTTACGTGCCAAATATGGACTGGGACGCTCAGGATCGCACGCATGGGATGACGATGTTAGGGCAGCATCTCCTGAGCAGTCAAGAACCAATCTCAACGTCCTCGGAAAGTCGTGGCGACCAGATCACGGAGATCGTACGGAAGACGCTGAATGTTGCCACGAATGACCTATCCGATGACACACCGCTAACAGCATACGGCATTGACTCGCTGTCGGCGGCAAGACTGTCACTTTTGCTCCGTCCATACGTCGAAGTGTCTCAGCTGCAGCTGTTGGCCAACGTGGCAGTAGGTGACCTAGTGCGTCGCGCGTCACAAGCACCTGCCCAAAATTCCTCCTCCGGCATCGCAGGAACAGGACCACAGAAAGAGCAAGTCATGCAAGATCTCGTTGCTCAGTATGCCCCTAACGCACATAGCTCCGTGGTCCCGAGGAGCGCCACAGTGAAGTCTCAGGGACAGACATTTATAGTGACTGGGACGACAGGCTCACTAGGGTGCCACATACTGTCTCATCTTCTCTGCCGAGATGAGGTGAAATTGGTGTATGCCCTCAATAGAAAGTCGGCTGGTGAAACTTCCATTCAGGAACGGCAAGCAGCGGCATTCCTTAATCAAGGCCTTGCCAAGTCTCTTGTAACGTCTCCAAAGCTCGTGCTGGTGGAGTGCGACCTGTCCGCTTCCGACTTCGGTCTTGAGGGTCCCACAATCGACGAGGTGAGTCGTTCTCGACCTTTCGGGTCACGTTGCCAACTAGCTGTTGTAGCTTTTATCTTCTGTCACGCATATCGTACATAACGGTTGGTGGTCGTCCTGAACTACATTTTTCCGCCACTGAGATTCATGTTTTAGCCTGGACTGTCGATCTGTACTCCCCATTGGAACGGTTCGAGAGCCTACTGGATGGGACACGCAGACTACTTGAGTTGGCAAGTCGCAGCAGGCTACCTACTCCGCCGTCCATGTTATTTGTCAGCACGGTGGCTGTCTATCAAGGTAAGGGGGTACTCTATATGAGCCGCTGGCCGGGTTTAACCAATTCTTTGTTGGAATATGCCAGACTACGACCCCACACTTCCAGCCCCTGAAGAACCTGTTCTCTCGCCCGAGGTTGCTGTCCAAAGCGGCTATACAGAATCCAAATGGATAGCAGAGCGCCTCGTCCAAACGGCAGCCCAGTCGCTTTCCCTGAACGCTAGCGTGATACGGGTCGGTTTGTTGACCGGTAGCGTGAATGGCTCGTGGGATACCAATCATTGGTTCCCTGCGTTGGTACAATCTGCAGAGTATCTTGGCTGTCTCCCTGAAGGACAGGAGGTGGGAGCGCCGCACACATGCCACTGCGTAGGTTGCTGACAACTGGGCTGTAGATCGTATCGTGGATACCTGTGGATCTCGCCGCCGCTACCATCGTTGATATGTGCGATATTGCAGCGGATACGCTACACCTTGTCCACCCGCAGCCGGTCAGATGGAACGCCATCATGGAGCCACTTGCGTCGAAACTCAATGTCCCTCTGGTCCCGTACGTTGAATGGCTTGCTCG